AAACTTATAAATACTAACCAATATGGTTTAAAATTTGCATCAAACATAAGTGAAAGTATGATAGCTTTTTTGGATATCACTTTTTATATTGAAGATTTTAAGATAGAGAGTAAAACTTTTTTAAACGTACTGATGGAAAAAGTTTTATTGATTTTACAAGCTGCCACTAACAAAAGTGGCTACAAAATATCCTACAGAACCAATTCATGAGAATTAAATGTAAATGTTCAAGAGATGAGGATTACCAACAACAAATCAAAACATTAGAGGAGAAATGTGTAAAGAAAAAATATCCAAAAGAACTTTTAAATAAGGCTAAAGTTAGGTCTCGAAAATAAAAAGGGAAGATTTGGTGACACCAAAAGAAACAATAAAAGGTAGTTCAGGGGAATTCCAACTGTCTTTAACTACTCAATGTAATAATCAAGTCTCCAAGATTAAGAAAATAATGTAAAGACATTGGCCCATTTTACTTCAAGATCTGATTTTAGGCTAAATTCTCCCAGAAAAAAACAGTTACTGTTTTTAAATGAGCTAATATTTAAAAAAAAAAACAAACAATTTTTTACATGTGGCAATTGTTCTATCTGTTAATACCAAAATAGAAAAACATAAAAATTTGAAAGTTTTGTAACAAAGGAAACTTTTTCTTTTAACCATTTTATGAATTGTACAAGTTGAAACGTAATTTACCTATTATAATGTAAGTGTGGGTAACAGTACGTTGGTAGAACGGCAAGAACATTACATTAGATACTTTTAGAACACTTTTATAATATCAGAATAAATAGTCTTAAGCACAGCATACCAAGACACTGCAAAAAATGTAAGGATTTTAACTTTCAAACTTTTACCTGTACAGGTATAGATGTGGTAGAACCACATTGTAGAGGAGGGCATATAGCGTTTGCACAAACCAAAAGAGAAACAGAATAGATGTTTAAATTAAAAACTCTAGGTTATAATGGTTTAAACAATGACATTGATAATTTAGCTTTTATGCAGTGTTATTATTATTATTATTTTTTAGGTATATACACAGACGTTTATTAACATAATCCTCTATATGCATTTTTTGTATATACTTTTTATAGATCTTTTATATATATTTGTGTGTATTTTTTATATGTATCTCTCTTCACCTAATAATACATATTTTTTATCTCACCTTTTTCAATTTGAAATCTAGGTTCCATAATGTTACATTTTAATCTTAAATTTTTCTTCTAAGTGAGATAAAGTTTTTACCTGTTCTTCAAGATTTTTTGTATAAATGATAAGTTATACTATATATTAATGATATTTGTGTAAACATATATAAAAGAATATACATTTTCATGTTTTTAATTAAAACGTTTGTATTTATGAATTTTGTTTAATATATATTTGCTTTATTTTATGTACTGGATATATGGCACAATGCACCTTTAGATATATGAGCAAAAATTCAAGGCATATATTTTATTAGTTCATAATTGTTTTTTTTTATTAATACATTTTTTATGAATTTTAATTTAATTAATTTTATCCTTTAGTGTATATTTTGATCCATAAAGGGATTGAGAATTTCTCATGATTCTAGGTGCATATATGTAAATGTATATTTATAACAATATATATTTAATTAAGCTCCCTACTCCACGAAAGGCTGTTATAATGGACATTTAAATAAAGTTGATTGACAAAATGCTTTAAGTGAGTATCATCGCATGTGTTAGGGGATGCATGCATGTTGGAGCAGAGGGCAGTAGACGCAGAGATGTCCTTCCGCTTGCTGCGCCGGGCATGTGCGTCTTCACGCTTGCGTGATTATGTCACGCGTATAGGCGACGTAGATCACGGAAGTCCAAGCAGAAAGGGGGTGGAGAAACCCCGCAGCAGGGTATTTGAACAAGCAAAAGAGGGAGAGTGAACAGCTCTTGAGAATGTCTGTTACACAGATGAAACGCGTAGAGCAGGACAAAATTTGCACACATGAAGACTCTTGGAGAAGCCTGAAGTGAAGGAGTTGGTCCCCATAAGGAACATTACAAGTTATTCCTATCCTGGAATCATACAAAGGGGGAACTTGCTGTCACAGGACCCACAGAGATTCCAAGCGTGCATCCTTCTGGAGATAAGTGGCCCCACTAGGGGCAAGGCTTATATTGCACAAACCCCTTTTTTGTGTGCCTTTTTTATATTGTGAGTGTTTATTTTACCATTTACTTTTAACTAGTTGTATTAAATACTACACTATAAGCCTTTTCATTTTTGTTTTACTTCCTCTTCTATTGTTACCAGAGTTTTTCCATTCAGATCTATGCATCTATTACACCTACTCCAGGTAACAGGAAAATATATTTACCTTGCACATTGAGGTTGTGTTGTGTGGTTGCAATATTTTAATACCACTTGGTTTTCTGCCTAAGACACAGTATATACTTTGTAAAAACAAAGAGAACGTTACCTGCACTCTGGCCTAAATCCCCATGTACATTTAAACAAATTGGAGGCTCTTTAGTTTTATTCCAAGGGCCATTTGAATATATAAGCTCACCTGCCACGTCAAGGCAAGCCTCAAAAGGTGAGTCCTACACTAGCCACTAGATATGCTGACATCAGCCAAGAATCTCCAGAAAGACAGGAAGGGGTATTTTATAAAATAAAAGCCTCCATTTTGTTTAAATGTACATGGGGATTTAGGCCAGAGCGCAGGTAACGTTCTCTTTGCTTTTACTTTGTATTTTAAGCTACTGCCTTGCTAAGCGCGGTGCTTTATCTTTGTGACAGTATATACTTTGTATACAATTTTTGCACGGGGCACATTTTAAACCTGTGCTTAAAATGGACAATTCTGCGGCATTCTATGATCTTTTTGAAGATAAAAAAATTCCTATTCCGAGGTTGGTGAGTTTTCTTTGCTTATTCAATTCTTATTTTTTTGTTGTTTTGTGTATGTATATATATATATATATATATATATATATATATATATATACCTATCAAAAACACATATAAATAGAGAGAGAGTGATGAAAGAGAGAGAGAGAAAATTGTGAGTTTCAGAGTTTAATTATTATAAAAAAGATCTTCATTGAGGAATGTCTTTCAAGATTGATGATATTAAATTAACAATTTAACAGTTTATGATCAAAAGATTTAATTTTAGTTATATTATAATTAATATATTTAATTAAATTGGGTAGCAAATTTACTTAATTTAATTGCAGGTTTTCATAAAATGACTAGTTGAAATGTAAGTTTGATTTTTATTTTATTCATAATATGCCGTAAATCACTAAATAAACTATGCAGCCATTCAGTTGTTTTCTAACTTTTAAGTTTTATGCTGTGTCCATGTTCCATTTTGGAGTAGTTCAGCTGGTTGGTTATTCAAAATTATATATTTTGTAAGCAGTGGTAGGTGGGAGTTATGGGAAATTGGGGAATTTACTGTTAGTGCAGCTTATTGCTAGATAGGGGTTAACTGTAAAAAAAGTTAAGAAAGTTTAAAAAAGGTTAAAAAATGTAATAAGTAAAAAAAGTTTCAAAACGAGTTTTAAAAAGTAAAAAAGTTTAAAAAAGTAAAAAAATACATTAGTAATGCTCATTACCACTACACCTGAAACAAACTAGAAAAAAAATGATCCCACGCTAAGGTTCAAAATATGCCTTTTGACTTACCCCGTGGTGTATTCTTTAATAAATAGTATGTCTTTATGGGGAAGTTTGAATAACCAACCAGCTGAACTACTCCAAAATGGAACATGGACACAGCATAAAACTTAAAAGTTAGAAAACAACTGAATGGCTGCATCTCAAATGTGCCCCTTCAATATCCAGTATTGCTGTACTCAGACAACATGTATGAGCAACATATAAAGTATTATACAGTCATAGCACACATAAGGTTTGCAAAATATACTGTGCAAACTCACTTTGTGTGTCAAAAAGGCAGAAAAAATGCTTATTACCACTACACTTGGTAAAAGCTAGTGGAAAAAGTATTCCAGGTTCAAAATATGCCTTTTGAAATAAACTGGGATGTCTTCTTTAAGAAATGGTATGCCTTTAAGGGAGTAGTAGGATTATATAGCCTGCTAAAATACTCAAAAATGGGACATGGACACAGCATAAAAATTCAAAGTTTGAAAAAAACTGGAATGGCTGTGTCTCAAATGTGTCCCTTCAATGTCCACATATACCTGGCAAAGGTATATACAGGGTATTGCGGTACTCAGCTGACATAGCTGAGCAACATATTAAGTATTATAAAGTTGTAGCACACATAAGTTTTGCAAAATATACTGTCAAAAAGGCAAATAAAATACTTATTACTACTACACTTGGTACAAACTAGAGGAAAAATTATCCCACACTAAGGTTCAAAATATGCCTTTTGGGGCAGAGCCTAACCACGCGAGTGAATGGCCGCCTAAAACGCGAGCTCTGCCAAGACCTTGCCTGATCGAGAGCCATCAAGAGCATCTGAGCCCCCCCTGAAGCTGTACTCACCCTCCTCCATGGGTGACGGCAGGAAACCCCACGACTCAGCTGTAGCCCCGATCTTCAAGCAATGCACAGAAAGGGCCCAGACGCCATCTTGGGAGTGCTCCCCAGCCGAATCGGACACAGAGATGAGCAGCCAGACGGCCCCTGCACGGGCAGAAGCCCCTCTAACCAGGCAAGATATGAAAGGCTTCCTGGCTGATTTTCAAAAGTCAGTGGCAGAAGAACTGTACAAAAGGCTAACTCCTATCCTAGAAGGGATGGCTGACCTTACTGCCAGAACACAGGCCACAGAGTCCAAAATGGAGGCGCTGCACGGAACGGTCACCGCACACGAAGAAGAACTGCAGGATCCGAGAGAACAACTGCGGATCCTGGAGGACTCGAATGAGGACTTAAATAATAGAACACGCCGGAACAATATCCGCGTGAGAGGCCTGCCAGAAACGGTATCCACTGAACGGATCGCAGACACACTTACAGCAATCTTCCGTAACCTACTACCGGAGGCCACGGTAGCAGACCTACTAATGGATCGCGCACACCGCACACTGCGGGCAACCAGCAGCAATGCATCCACGCCTAGAGACATAATAGTATGTCTACACTTCTACCACATAAAAGAACAAATAATGCGCGCAGCCCGGGACTTGCCCATAGAAGTGGAGGGAGCGCAGATACAGCTCTACCAAGATCTAGCCCCAACCACCCTAACGAGAAGAAAAGACCTGCGCCTGCTCACACAACACCTACAGCAACACGGTCTTCGGTATGCCTGGGGCCACCCTTTTAAGATCATCATTCGGAAGGATAACAGGTTCTATACACTAACAAGACCAGCAGAAATACCAGCGCTCCTAGAGCAGCTGAGCCTCCCGCAAATCCTTACACGGCCACGAGAGTCTGACGGGCCAACCTCACAGACATCCACCAGCCAGAGGCAGGCACCCAGAACAGACAACTAAATGCCAGCAGTCGCCAGCGCACAGATTGGACCCTCGGAAAGACAGCACTGACATACCCCGGACACAGACTCAGGAGCAACAACCAACGATATCCCAGAACGACACTGCCAAGACTAACCGCCAAGAAACCGCGGTCCGCTGACAACAGCGCAATGTCACCAACAGTGAAGCACCGTCAACAATTGTAGCAGGACCAAGACAAAGCTGCGACGTCCACGACACCTCCAAACGACACCTGAGCCCCCTGCTTGCTACACTCATGACCCGGTGGCCTTCGGACCACCACTCCACCCATAAGGTACTGTACTGACATACCCCGGCCCACAGTGACACTAGGGCCAGCGGGCGAGGGAACAGATCACACAACCCCAGGCAAGTCCCACCGGCCCACAGGCAAAGTGTTCCTAACAGCACCCGCCTTAACAAGCGCAGGTCGGGGGCCACAGGGGCTGAGATGTGCACAGCGACAACCCAGAAGGCCAGCAGGGTACACAAAGGGCTATGGCGGGCACAGGCATCGAAACACCAGCCCCGAAAGAGACAGCGAATCCAACACCCTACCCCCACTGTAGCTCCACCAGAGATGCTAGTATCAACCTAACAAGCAGAGAGTCACTATATCAATTTAAACCTAAACAATCAAGGTGTACTAATAACTATGAATAGCGTAGAAGAGGCTTTTATTAAATGTTGACACTGTAGGAAACACCTTGGAACCGAGAGACACGCCTGCCCCCGGGGTGGGGAGGGGGGAGACACAGAGACTGGCCACTACAAGTGAACAGCACTCCGGCAGTACCATTTACCCCCGCCCTTCTTCCAGGCTCTGGGCCTGGGCGCGTGAAAAATTAGAGCGCCCACAGGGGACAAACCCAGGTTGGGGGAGGAGAGCGTTTAGGACGAGATTACATCCACCGATGACAGACGTGACACACAAGGCACCCCCAGCGATGCCCCTCCCCCCCACGACCTGACAAAAAACACTGTGCCATTTAGGACAGATGAGACCCCATGACATCAACGGACTTCCCGGGGGGGGAGACAAGGAGGAAACATCAGTGGCGACGGGGAGGACGCTACAATAGGGCATTGAGGAAACGCTAGGGAGGCCCCTGCCCAGGTGTAACCGAGAATGAAAACCAAGACAGGGGGCTAACAGTCACAGCCGGGTAATAAGAGCCCACCCCCCTGCCCTCTACTCCCCCCCTCACGACCCGACACCACCACTCCAAAATGACAACAAATGGGAGAAGCATGACGGATGCCAGGGCACACGAGGGCACGGACAAACCTGACCACCAGGGCACGAGCAGGGGAGTTGAAAAGAGAACTAGGGACCAGTCAATTGCTGCAAAGTTTAAATGTTTTACCGTTCGAAAAGTTTTTATATGTATATAATATGTTATACTATCGGTGTACAAGCTCAGTTCCTACCACGGCTTGTAACAAGCAAACCCCAACACCGCCACAACACCCATCAGGCAGAAGCATACTCTGAAGGAAATACCGACCAGTTCCCACAGGAACCATAACAGACCCCCCCAATTTTATTTTATATTTTTCTTTTTCTTTCTTTCTTTCCTCAGCTTAGACAATACAGACCACCCTAAGGCAGGTCACAGGCACACGCTGCCACGACTTGAACACTCGGACCACATCCACTCGCTCACCCAGGTCTCGCCACACCAACCCCCCAGCCGAAACGCGAGACACCCGCCCAACTATTAACTGGCCAGTTTGATAAGCCCAGTTACCCCCACCCCTCCACAATCTTGTGATAGCTGCCCGGAGTGCCGGCTGGTCCGGGAGGGCCGGGCCTACTCGCTCCCCCTCCAACCCAACTTTCCTCTCCCGACCCCCCCCTTCCCACAACCCACACCCAACAGCACCCGCCCATACAGCACCACTCTGCCACACACAGACACCTCTCCCATCCAAACCCACACGGACGTGACCTAGACTACTGCACCATGGCACCTCAGAACACCACAAATCACCTCCCTCAACACGAAAGGCCTCAATTCACTGGGCAAACGCCACAGCATATTACGCTGGGCAAATCGCACGGGAGCAGATATAATTCTACTCCAAGAAACTCATTTTACTGACCAGAAACATTTCCCACTGACCAAACAGCACTTCAAACGATATTATCTGGCTAACTCCCCAGACCCTAAGATGAAGGGAGTGGCAATTTTACTGCGTACCTCATGCCCCCTGGAGGACATCACAGCACTAAAGGATCCCTTGGGCAGATTCCTCTTTCTGACGGCATACGTGGGAACAACAGTATTGTCAATCTGCTCGCTATATGCCCCATCAGCCCCAGACGCCACCTTCTGGGAAAACTTCCGAACCCACCTCGCAGGCCTCACCACCAAACACGTAATCATAGGTGGCGACTGCAACGCAACACAATCCGCCATCGCAGACCGAAGAGTGCACAACGGTGGCACTCCGGCCACAACATGTAACGACAAACTATTCACCACATTCTTAAACGACACATCCTTCATAGACGTATGGCGGGCGCAACACCCATCCGCCAGAGATTTCAGCTTTTACTCCAACACACACCGCTCATATTCCAGAATAGACAAATTCCTCATATCTCACGCGATCTAGCCCTGGACTACCCAAACAAAGATTGGCAATATAGCGTGGTCAGACCACAAATACCCAAACTGCTACGACCATGGCGATGGCACCTCAGCCCATGGATATTACGGGACCAAGGCACCATCCAAACACTGACAGCCAACATCTGCGACTACTTTGACACCAACTCCACCGAAGACGTTGCCCCAGCAATGGTCTGGACCGCCCACAAAGCAGCAATCAGAGGCAATCTAATAGCCACAGCCACAAACCGCAAACAACATCACCTACAAAACCTAACAGCAGTGCTAGCGGAACTGGCCAGGCTGGAGGCAAGTCACAAACGGACACCAACAGATGACCTTCTAGCCCAATTAACGGCAACGAGAGACCTGATAAAATCACTCTCAGCAGCAGACGTGTCAAGAAACCTGCATGTGGTCAAAACAAAGATTCTATGAGAAGGGAAATAAAGCGGACTCACTACTGGCACATTGCCTCAGGAAGCGGCAGGAAGCCAAAAAAATATCCAAAATTTGCACGAGAACTGGTGATATCACCAACCAGCCGGAACAAATCGCGTAAGAATTTCTGCATTACTATACCGAACTGTATAACCACTCCTCTACGCCGACGCCAGAGCCCAATGAACCTCAGACGCGAACTCAGGCCTTCCTAGAACACCTTAACCTACCTTCCCTCCCCGCCAAAGCCAAAGACATCCTAGCGGCACCCATGGAAATGGAGGAACTGGCACAGGTCCTTAAAACACTTAAACCGCTGAAGAGCCCCGGACCAGACGGCTTCACGGCCCTCTATTATAAAACCTTTCAGGTATAACTCATCCCCCACCTTTGCAAAACCTTCAACTCGCTTCTCCAGGGGCAACCACTCCCCTTAGATATGCTCACGGCAGACATATGCCTACTGCCGAAACCAGGAAAGGAACATTTAAACCCAAGCCACTACAGGCCAATCTCTCTTCTGAATATGGACCTGAAAATAATCACTAAAGCACTAGCCAACCACCTTAACCCGTTCCTCCATAACCTAATCCACCCGGACCAGGTAGGCTTTATCCCACGCAGGCAAGCAGCAGATAACACCAGACGAGCCTTTGATACGATATGGTATGTCCAAAAGCGACATATCACATAGGTAGTACTACCACTGGACGCAGAGAAGGCATTCGACCACCTTCTTTGGCCTTACCTGTACTCAGTGCTCGAACATCTAGGATTCCCATCTGAGTTCCTCTGCGTCCTAGCTGCAGTCTACAACAGGCCAACAGGGAGGCTCCTCCTACCTAATATGGAAGCCCAAACATTCTCGATAACAAACGGAACCAGACAGCGCTGTCCCCTTTCACCCTTACTTTTTACCATATCACTTGAACCGCTACTACAGGCTATACATCTAAACCGAGATATCCAGGGAATTCAGATCCGGCGGGAAACCTATAAGATAGCTGCATACGCGGACAATGTCCTACTGACCCTAGCAGACCCCATACAATCGCTACACACTACGCTGACACTGATCAATGAATATGCCACTTTCTCAGGTTATAAAATCAACCTGGCAAAATCCATACTTATGCCCTTGGCAATGGAACAGCAACAGATTATGCTACTCCGCAACCTATTCCCCTTCCAAATCACAACCACCTCACTCACATACCTGGGAATTAAACTATCCCTCCGACTCACGGACCTCTACGATCTTAACTACAAACCACTATTGGCAACAGCCCATTCTGACCTCCAGCGCTGGGAAGTACTGGGAGTATCATGGCTGGGAAGGGTTACCACAATAAAAATGAACCTACTCCCTAGATTCCTGTATCTCTTTCAGACACTACCAATACCAAGTCTAAACACGGACTTCAAACACCTACAAGCCTCAATTGACAAATTTATATGGAAAGCCAAAAAGCCCTGGATACGCAGAACCATGATGTACGTGCCCAGGCCCAGGGGCGGACTGGGACTCCCCAACTTTCAACACTACTACCAAGCAGCTCAAATGGCACACTTACAACAATGGAACGTACCGCCGGGGACGAAAAGATGGGTGGACTTGGAACATGACATCATGGGCTGGGACCTACCATCCTCCTACCTATGGGTACCCCCAACACAGCGACCCCTACCAACGACCACCTCACCGGCAATCACACATACGCTCTCTCTGTGGGACAAACTCAACCCCAAATATGACCTGTCATCGTTCGTATCACCAGTCACCCCAATTTACCGGAATAACCTGTTCCCACCGGGGTTAACGGCCAAACACTTCCACGCCTTCGACCAAAGAGATATTTCTAGATTGCTACATCTTTACCACCAAGGAGAAATAATAGCATATGCTGACCTCCCAAATGCAGAGACCCTCACCGCCTCGGACTACTTCCAATATTTGCAACTGAGAGACCTAGCACAACAACCCACAATCAAACAAGCAGGCACTTCGCCACCAACACCGTTTGAGAAACAGTGCTTCGACTCACCAACGCACCCAGGACAAATCTCCGACATCTACATCACCCTAACGACCCATCCCTCACAAATAAACCTCACCTATATAGCAGCATGGGAACGTGACTTCGGGCCACCGGAGGACCCGGGGGACTGGGCAGACATCTGGGAGGCAACAAACACACTGATGGTATGCGTCACACATAATGAACAGCCATACAAGACCCTATTCCGCTGGTACATGACACCGCGCAAACTACACAAAATGGGCAAACACCCAATGACCAGTGCTGGAAACTATGCGGGGATCCCGGAACCTACCTCCACTGTTGGTGGCAATGTCCCAAACTCAAGCCACTCTGGTCGAGGGTCCTACGACTTATGGAACAAATCATAGACAAACCACTTGAAGCACAACCATGGAACATGCTCCTGAACAAACCTGTCGAATCCCTCACAAGGAGTGAAACCAAACTAGCAGCCTGTATAACCTTAGCAACTAGAAGAGAAATCGCAGGACTATGGGCCGACAAACGCATCCCCAACATCTCCACCATCACACAAAAAATTTAAGAAACTCGAGACCTAGGCGAACTGACAGCACAGATACACAACACATACAAATTCTTTCACAGGACCTGGAACCTCTGGGACAACAACTACCCAAGCCTACACATAAACACTCTATGAACGGGGAAGAACCAAGACATACAACAACGTACGAAACTCAAACAAACAACACACCCACACCCACAACCACCATGTACACAATAGATAGCATACCTGAACCCCGGCTCTAACATAACACTCGCAAGACAGACAGCACTGGGGGAGAACACCACACAAATGCAAATTACACAGCAGACCAAACAGTCGTGCAAAAATGCACAACCAACCGCAAAACTTCCCACTACCCACCAGCCCCTCCACACCACCCCTAAAATCCGCTACCCCTTCTCAACACCCACCCCCCTCCCTCCTTTGCCCCAACCAATCCAGAGGGTGGGCCCGGCCGGCCAGGATGCGGGGGCATACGGGAGCATTATGGGGTGCCAAAGCTCCCAGAAACACGTCTCACTCACAACTTAAAAAAAAAAAAAAGGCAAAATAAACTCACCGTGACCCGAGACGGGGAGGGGGAGAGAGAACACTAAGACCCCCCACCAGGCACACGAACCAAGCCCCCAGCAACACCCAGCAGCGACCCAGGGGAAAAACCAACCAAAAAGGTGGCGTCTAGGCACAATCCACAAACAAGATGAACAGCCACAAACAAAAGATCCATACTAAGGAAATCACCCCTCCCTGCCAGTGCCCCCCCAACGAGCTCTCACCCACAAAAGTACAACTCTGCAAACGCAGTGAGTACCCCAACACACTCATCCCAGGGATAAACCATGTCAAAGGCAAACTTCATGAAATGTGATACCACGGTATAACAAAATGCTACTTAATGATATCCTTGGCATGTACTCACCAAACAGGCCATCGTATGACAGGCAGGGTATGTGATCGTGAATTATTAGTATAATTCTTATATTGGCACCCTTAACCTCTTCTTTCTGTAACCCACCCCCCCTGTGGAACGAAAACTTTAAAACAAAGAAGTTATAAGAAAAGTATGCACAATAGTACCCAATCCCCCACCCCTCTCATTTCTGTACCCCACCCCAAACCCAAGACGAAAGCCTATCAGATGTCGACACGAAATTAGAGGAAGTTTATATGCAATTAACATATGTAGAAATTATTGTTAAACAATTAGCATGTACTCTTGGTCTGTTTGAACACCATACAAAGCATATGCATGTTAGGAGATGTTTGTACCACAATCTCTAACTCCCTGTCTTCTTTTCTGTACCCCCGCCCCATAAAACAAAACTTTTAAAATAAAGAATTAAAAAAAATATATATGCCTTTTGAAATACCCTGGGATGTCTTCTTTAAGAAATGGTATGCCTCTATGGTATAGTTGGAATATGTAGCCTGCTCAAGTGCTCCAAAGTGGGACACGGACACATCAAAACCCTCCATGAAAATTCACACTTAAAAACCTGAACTTGTCACGTCTCTTTTACAGCACTGTAACTTCACAAAATAGTGTCTAGGTCATACATTGGGCATATTGTTTTACTTAGAAGATGTAACTGAGCATATTTTTTTTTTTTTTAAATGACAGTGGTACATATCAAGTGTAAGAAATACTCAGCAAAAATGCAACATATATCTGAAAAATATATTTTTTTCCCCTTTACACAAACATTGACATAAATTGGTGAAGAAATGGTGACAAGTTAATTTATTTATTTATTATTTATTTATAAAATATTTTACCAGGAGTTAATGAACAATATACACCATATAAGATACCATGGGGTGTCTGCTTTATCAAATGAAAGCCCTTTGTGGGGTTATTTGAACAGTCACACTGATATAATACCCTAAAATGTGACATAGGCCCGTCAAATCCATCTACGGAAATTCTAACTATAGAAACTGAAATAGCCTTGTATCTTATATTGCATTGTGGCTTCACAGAATAGTGCCAAAGGCATACAATGGGGGTATCGTTCTGCTCAGTAGACGTAGCTAAACACAATATGGGGTTCTGTGCAGGAATAGCACACCACAACTTTACAAAATACACATTACAAAAAACTTGTTTTCTGTGTATATGCCAAAATAGAGAAAAAAAACTAAATTTTACTCCAATATTTAGCAGAGATTGGCGATGAAATGGCTACATAAAAAATGTCAAACTAACCTTAGGTAAATAGCCTGGGATGTCTACTTTATATAAATATATACTTTTGTGTGGCAATTTTGTTTTCTGTGATGGATACTAAACCTACAAGACAAACATACCAATTTCTAAAATTGCTTCACGATAACATTTTATTTAAGTTCTTTTATTTTGTGACCTGTAACTTTAAAAATAAGCTGAAATCCTATACATATTATGTACTCTATAAATCAAGACAAATAAATGAATTTATTAATTACTTTTTCTAAGCTGGACATATTATGCACACGCTATTATTGCCAAAACTGTGGAAAAAAAATTTGTTTTTTGTTTTGTTTTTCATTTTTTGGCATTTTTTTATAATTAATGAGAATTTATCTATGTATATGTGACATAAAACTAAAGCTCTGTTTGCCCTCTAAAAACCGGTATATAATGCGTGTTGGTGCAATAAATGACAGAGATGCAAATTGCGTTTGAACACAAATAGCAAAAAATGCAAAAATGGCTTGTGTCCTTAAGGGTAAAACAAGCTTTTGAAGCTGTGTCCTTAAGGGGTTAAATTTAACTGCCACTTTGTTGTGTTTCACTGTGTATGTGTACCCGTATAATTTGTTGTGATGGTTTCATTGATTCAACTGTATACTTACCTTTGTCTCATCCTGTATATATATGATTCAGTATCAGTAATGCATCCAGGATATATACTCACTAAGCAGTTATGTGAAATACAGCTCTACATGAAATGCAAAGTAAAATATCTCCAAGGAAAGTCTAAGCTAATTTTACTGTTTACTTCCTTATGGAGACCATGAAATTCACTTCTCTTCAAGATGGCATTAAACAGATGAACAATTTTTATACTATATTGTTTGCAAGTAAACATTCATAAGCAGTCACTATTCTTTCTCTTATATGTACAGTATATCACAAAAGTGAGTACACTCCTCACATTTTTGTAAATATTTTATTATATCTTTTCATGTGACAACACTGAAGAAATGACACTCTGCTACAATGTAAAGTAGTAAGTGTACAGCCTGTATAACAGTGTAAATTTGCTGTCCTGTCAAAATAACAACACACAGCCATTAATGTCTTTGTTGGCAACAAAAGTGAGTACACCGCTAAGTGGAAATGTCCAAATTGGGCTCAATTAGCCATTTTCCCTTTCCGGTGTCATGCGACTCGTTAGTGTTACAAGGTCTCAGGTGTGAATGGGGAGCAGGTGTGTTATATTTGATGTTATCGCTCTCACACTCTCCCATACTGGTCACTAGAAGTACAAAATGGCACCTCATGACAAAGAACTCTCTGAGGATCTGAAAAAAAGAAATGTTTCTCTACATAAAGATGGCCAAGGCTATAAGAAGGTTGCCAAGAACCTGAAACTGAGCTGCAGCATGATGGGCAAGACCAAACAGTGATTTCACAGGAGAGGTTCCACTCAGAACAGGCCTCGCCATGGTCGACCAAAGAAGTTGAGTGAATGTGCTCAGCGTCATATCCAGAGGTTGTTTTTTTAAAATAGACATATGAATGCTGCCAGCATTGATGCAGAGATT